GAGCCTCAAACGCGTTGCACTGAGTGAGAGAAGCCAGACTCACAGGGTTACATACCATGTGATTCCGTTTATATGACATTCTGAAAAACGCAAAACTGCAGAGACAAGATCCATCAGGACTCTGGGGAGGGCTAGGAGCTGACCACAAAAGGGCAATGATAGATCATGATAGATACAGTGGAATATTATTCGGCCTTGAAAAGGGAGGAAGTCTGACACATGCTACAACACAGATGCACTTGAAGGATGTTACACTCAGTGAGATAGGCCAGCCACAAAGAGAGAAATGCTGAGTAATCTCATTTGTGTGAGGTCAGAAGTAGTAAATTCCTAGAAACGGAACATAGAATGGGGATGGCCGATGGCTGGGTCTGGCTAAAAGAGTTGCTGTCCGGGGCGCCTGGGTGGCTCAGTCAGCTAAGCCTCAGACTTCAGCTCAGGTCATGATCTCACGGTTCATGAGTTCAAGCCCCGCATGAGACTCTGTGCTGACAGCTGAGAGCCTGGAAGCTGCTTCAGATTCTGTGTGTGTGTCTCTCTCTCTGCCTCTACCCCACGCACGCTCTGTCTCTGTCTGTCAAAAATAAATAAGCATTAAAAAAAATTTTTTTTGAAAGAGTTGCTGTTTTATGGGTACAGAGTTTCACTTTTGCAAAGTGTAAAAGCCCTGGGATCCACTGTACAACGATGTGAATATACTTAGCATTATATTTAAAAATGGTTAAGATGTAAAGAGCACACTTACCATAATGAACACTGAGTAACGGAAGGAATTTTGAATCATGGTTTTGTGCACCTGAAGCTAATACAACTGTGTATGTTAACTATCCTAAAATAAATAAAAAGCTTGGAGTGCCTGGGTGACTTCGTTGCTTAAGCATCTGACTCTTTGGCTCAGGTTATGATCTCGTGGTTTGTGAGTTCGAGACCCACACTGGGCTCTGCGCTGGCAGCTCAGAGCCTGCTTGGGGTTCTGTCTCCCTCTCTCTCTCTTCCCCTCCCCCCGCTTTCTCTCTTTTTCTTTCTTTCTTTTTTTTTTTTTTTTAACTTTTTTAATGTTTATTTTTTGAGAGAGAGAGACACAGACACAGACAGGGTAAGTGGGGGAGGGACTGACAGAGAGGGAGACACAGAATCCGAAGCAGCCTCCAGGCTCCGAGCTGTCAGCACAGAGCCCGATGCGGGACTCAAACTCACGAACTGCGAGATCATGACCTGAGCCGAAGTCGGACGCTCAACCGACTGAGCCCCCCGGGCGCCCCTCTATCTTTTCCCCGAAATGAATAAAAGTTGACTTAAAATTAAATTAAGTTAAAAACTTAATAAAAATGGCTAAGACAACTTCAAATAAAAAACTAATTTAAACAAAGGCGTGATAGAGGTTTTCTGAAGGTGAGGGAGCTACTGTTTATCTTGACTATGATGGTGATTCCCTGACCATATGTGTGTGTTAAACTCATTACGCTGGACACTAAACAGGGAGAATTTTACCGTATGTGAGTTATACCTAAGTAAGCCTGACTTAAAAACAAAACCGAGACTTGGTTCTGGCACAGAAGTAGTCCATTCAGTCATTCAACATGTATTTCTTGAGGACATACTATGTGCCAGGCACCATTCTAGGCACTGGCGGGGGTACAGAGGCAATCGCCACCTGGTTTACACCTTTGTGAAAATGTGATACGGTGTCATGATCAGATAGACTCATGGAGTCAAAGTGGCAGTGCGAAAATAGAGGGAGACTTACCTCTATATATTCATATCTATGTGGAAAAGTATGTTTGTAGATGAATTTAACAGAGGATAAAGATAACATTCCCAAATTCTAGAGGGGAAAATCCATTATTCAATGATTTCTAATTTTATACTGTATCTGCAAACAAATCCCCTGTAAGACCTGAAATGTAAAACAAAACTTTAACGCTACAAATGTAGTAAACCATAAAGGAGATAGAAATATTTATGTAATCTTGGCCTGGGGAAGAGCTTTCTAAGCATGAAACCAAAGGCGAAGATTAATAGATTTGACCACGTGTAAATTGAAAAGCCTGACATCAGAAATGCTATAAATAAAACAAAATGTCAAACCATAATGAGAAAATATTATTTGCAGCATGTATTGTAGAGCAAGGATTAATATCCTTAATGCATAAAGCAGTGTTATGAATTGGTAAGAAAAAAGCGCATATTGTCATAAAAACGGGTAAAGGGCATAAAATGTGACGTTTTAATTATTTTAGCTTTATATTTCAATGATTCATAAAACAAGCAATAAATATGATGGCCAAAAGCATAAGAACTATATTCAGCATCAAGAAACGCAAAAGAAGACAGGGAAGAATTTTTTGAGGTCAAAGCTCTGAGTGATAACATCCGGTGTTACAAAACTCTGGAACTAGATGTTTCCATGCTCTCTCTGTTAGCAGTAACTTGTAGTGTGAGTTGGTATAAACTTTCTAGAAGATGATAGAATACTATGTATCGAAAGCCTTTAAGACAGTTATTTATTGCCTGTCGATTCCATTCCCCTCCGTCCATTTCTGCTCTGTAATGCAAACTACGTTTTCCGGACGCCTTGTTGGCTTGTAGCTGGCCAGGGGGAGGCAAAGGTGGAGAACGAAGGAGCGAGAACAAGAAGACACAGGGCTGTCTTTTGCTGTCCAGCAGCAGCAATGACCTCCGGAGTAGCACCAGCTGGCAGTCCGCACATGAGGCACATGGTGAGCCCTCAGAGATCAGGTGTCTGAGCCCCCCTAGCACGGTTTTGTGGGTTGATTTGTGCCCCACCCCACCCCCCCAGAGTCTCCCTTTGAACCCCTTGAGAAGGACCCAACCCTTGATTTCAGACTTCTGGTGTCCAGAACCATGAGAAAATACGTGGCTTTTGTTTTAAGCCACCTATGGTGGCACTTTGTTATGGGGCCCTAAGAAACTCCCGCAAGGACCCTGATTAAATAAGTTACAGTAGAGTCCCAGAGCGGAAAGCAGTGCGATGATTAAACTATACGATCACGTTGTGGAAGAATTTGTGATGATAGGAAAAGGTGTTCCCGACGTGGTAAGTTAAAACGCAACATTCTATGTAATTTGAGCCTGTTTTTGTAAATTAACAGCAACAACAAACACGTATGTATGGTGAACAACAATCTGTAAGGCGGTACACTAAAACAATAACATTAGCTCTACGCTGGGAGGGGGCAGTGCTGTGCGTGGCTTTCATTTTCTTTACTTTGATTATCTTGGTTTCTAAATATCCTACAACGAGCATGTCTCACTTTTGAACAAGAAAATAAAGGCCTTATTTGACCCTGGCAAGAACCCTATAAGGGAGTCCAAGCGGGGAGCCGCATGCGTAATGTTCTATGGGGAAACTGAGACCGCAGTGGGGGTGGGGGTGGGGCAGGGGAAAGCCCTTCCTTCCCAGGCCACATCACGACTTGAAAGAGGACGTATTCATGGAGGGCTGGGGGACATTCCCTTCTCCCCTCGAAACCAAGCTCCATCCAGGGCATCCAGAGAACAAACGGAGTGAATGTGAGCTTCGATGATAAATTATCAAAGATGTCATGTGGAGAAACCAAATAACTCTCAGCTATTTTTAGCACCCTCTGTTTCCATCACTAACTCTACAGAACCTTGGACAGCTTCCCTAGGAGGCTATGTTGTCATTTACTTGGAAATTTGTTTTTCACTTGTTTTAAATTTTTATTACGATATCTCCAAACACTTAGGAGTATGGAGAACGGTGACGTACCATGTGCCCCGCCCTTACCTGTAACAGCCGTCAAAACTTTGTCATCCTAGTTTTATCCCACCCCACCCCCACCTTCTATTTTAAAGGAATTTGCAGACTTTATGTCGCGTCACTCGTAAATACTTCCATTTGCATCTCAAAAAAGAGGGGTGTGAGGGATGTTTTCTTACATAACCTCAGTATCATTATCACATCGAACATCATGAACCATAATTCACTAATATGGCCTGATACTTGGTTCATAGTCAATGTCTACCAGGGCCTTTTTGGGGCCACATTCTCAGCACAGGGGAAGTAGCTACTGTAGGGAGGCTTTCAAACATCCAGCATTAAACTGACGGTCACGTGATACGAGAAGGTGGTATCTCCCAAATCTCCATTACTCCTTCCCAGCCAAGGGGTAGGGTGAGACCGCTGCTATTGGAGAGAGAACAGGTATGAGACGGGACACATCATAACTCAGTGGAAAGAAGACTGATCTGGCTCTGCTGTGTGACATGGAGCATGTTACTTAACCTCTCTGTGTTCCCACTTCTGCTTCTGCCAAGTACGGAAAATGATCTGAGCCAGTGATTTGCTTATTTGTCCTCAGCTCTGTTACCTGGCCCTCCCGTCTGTGTCTCCGGGGTAGCAGCTTGAAGCCCGACGTTGGGCCCCAAACATGGCCCAGGGGAGGGGTGGGAAGAGTCGGGGTTCTTGATAGTGTTGATGGGCTACTGAACTCACTGAGCCTGGAAACAGCCACCTCTGAACTTCCGGCTGCGAGAACCGGATGTGCTCACGGCTTAGATAATGGGTTTGGCAACTGCAGGAGGTATTTTTTTCCACGGAGGGGAGCAATTTTTTAATTAGGGACTTAAAAAAAAAAAAAGAAAAAGAGACCCACAGGCAGTTAGTTGTGAAAAACTGAACTTTCACAAGAACGCAATATACCCATTATACACGCTTCAAGAGAGTTCACTTGAACACGATCATGTAGCAAGTTACAAGTCATAACTGATGTGAAGTCAGAGCTAGAGTATGATTCTATTGTCGACCACAAATTCCTTTTTTTTTTTTTTTCTTTTTTTTTCTTTTTTAAGTAGCTTCATGCCCAGTGCAGAGCACGATGCAGGGCTTGAACTCACAACCTTGAGATGAAGACCTGAGCTGAGATCAAGAGTCAGATGCTTACCTGACTGAGCCACCCAGGCGCCCCCGTCCCCCACTAATTCCTCAACCGGAGTTCATTAACCCAGTCATTTTCTTCCTCCTGTGAGTATTTATTGAGCGCCACTGCGTACCAAACACTGTATGAGACACCGGAAAGTTCAAAGACGAAAGGCACAGTTCCCTCCTTCAAACAGCTCACAGGGCGGGGAGACAGATCTGCAACTAGACAAGCCTGTTAGTGAGTGACGGACGCTGTGAGTGGACATTCATGTCGCGGGTTGCTTCGGACAGTCCCGTCTTCTGCCCATCCGGGAGTTGGTCATTCGCAGTGGCCCGCTGTTGCTCGCAAGTGTGTCCTTGCTTCGTTGCTAATTGTGAGACCCCCCTAACGACGACAGAAGCATGAACAAAGGCTCGTGGTAAAGAAGAGAGTTGTGCTTCTTCCACGTTACCCTGGGGTTGTGTTTCGTCTTTACGCCATCCTGGTCCAGGCGGGTCCAGGCCATGCAGCAGTGAGGCCACCGTCCTATGGACACAGACTTCATTATTGCGTCTCTTTTTCTTCTCTCTTCTTTCCTCCCTCTTTGTCTCCTCCCTCCCTTTTTCCTTCTCCCTCCCACCCTTCCTTCCTTCCTTCTCCTACTTCTCCTCTCTCTCCTTCTTCTTCTCTGTCATCATTGTCATTTTTGTATCAACCAAACGTATACCTTGCAACCTAAAGAGTCAAACGTTGTATTTCATTGGCTCTAAGGCGATACAGATAGCAAATTACCCCCGAATGTAGCAGCTTCAAGCAACTATGCATGATGTCACACTGCTTCTGCATTTCAGGAACCTGGGACTGGCTTAGCTGGGTGGTTCTGGATCAGAGTCCCTCAGGAGGTGGCAGTAAAGCCGTCAGCCAGAGCCGCAGTCAGCTGCGGGCCTGTCGTGGGGGTGGCGGATCATTGCCGAGACAGCTCACTCACATGGCTGTTGACCGAAGACCTTAGTTCTTTGTTGGCTCAGTTCCTCGGCGTGTGAGCCTCTCCTCAGGGCTGCTTGAGTGTCCTTACTATGGAGCAGCTTGCTTTCCCCAGGGCTAGCGAACCAGGAGAGAAAGAGCAGGGCAGAAGCCACAGCGTCTTCTATGACTCGGTCTTGGAAGAGACGTACCATCGATTTGCTGCTATTTTGCACAGATGTGACGCAACGTGGAAGCAGGGGGTGGAATACCAGGAGACAGGAATCATGGGACCGTCTTGGCGACTGGCCAGCCCAGGAGGTAAACCCTCTGAGACCTTGCATTTCGGAGCATCTCCCTGGCAATACACTGAGTTGATAGTCCACTAGCTACATAGTTCCACACTGGGAACACTTTTCAGAATCTTGAAGGCATTCCTTCGTTAGTCCTGGTTTCATGGCTGCTGTTGAGAATTCCACCAACATTTGGATTTTCCATCCTTTTCTCTCTTGTCACCTCTTCTCTTTGCGCCCCGCATCCTGAAATTTCACCAGCACATGTGGGGTCCCGGAGTGGGTTTATTCTTGCCCGCTCTCCTGGGCACTCAACAGACCCTTTCAGTCCAGAACCCAATGTGTGTCACTTCCTCCTCTTCCCTGCTTTCCCTGGCTCTTCCTCCTCTCCTATTATATGGCTATTGAAACTTCAATCTTCTTATCTTTAATTTCTCTGCCTTTTCCTCCACTTCCTAGATCTTCTTGGTGCCTGGCTGGCTCAGTCAGTACAGCGTGTGACTCTTGACCTTGGGGTTGTAGGTTCAAGCTCCACACTGGGTGCAGAGATCACTTTTTAAAAAATAAAATCTGGCACATCTCCTTCAGTTAATCTTCCTACCCTCCTGTTGAATTCTCACGAAGACCGTCATGTGTTTATTTCCAAGCATCCTGACTTTATCCCCAGATGTTTTTTTTTTTTTTTTTTTTTTTAAACAGACGGCATCCTGTTCTTGCTTCAGGATTTTTAGTGGCTCTGGAGCCAGAGTGCCTGGATGACAAAGCCGGGCTCCCACTCAGCAGCTGTAGAACCCTGGGCAGGTGCTTAGCACCGTGAGGTCTTGGTTTTTCTATCCACCAAATGGGGGTTAAAACAGTAGTACCTGCTACGCTCGTTTTCTGAGGCTGCCGTAACAAAGTGTTACACACTGCGTGACTGAAATGAACAGGAATTTATTATTTCACTTCTGGAGGCCAGATGTCCGAAATCAAGGGTGGGTCCTCCCAGAGGGCCAAGGGATAATCTGCTCCATGCCGCCTGCTGACCCCTGATGGCTGTCTGCATTCCTCAGCCTGTAGACACTTCCCTCACATGAAGTCCTTCCTGTCTTCTTGTCTTGCAGTCTAAATTTCCCTCATCTTAGAGAGACACCGGTCCATGGAGTAGGGCCCACCCGCCTCTCATGTGACCCCACCTTAACGTGATTCCATCTACAAACACCCTATTTCCAAATAAGAAGTTAGCGGCTGAATGTATCTTTTGGCGGGGACACAAGTGTACCCACTACATCTGCCTCATGGGGTTTTGTAAAGATTACTGTGTGTTGGGTATAACGGTTGTTATTATCATGCTTTTATCACTCTGAGGATGCTAATAATAGTTTGTGTGGTTTTTTTTTTTTTAAAGTTCTCCTCCTGCGTGGTTCTCCTTTCCCCAATTTCCTTCTTTCTGTTTGTTCTGGCCACTGTCAAATGTCCGGTGGCCACTGGCTGGACGCACCTGCCTCGGGGTGGGAAGTAGAAAGCTGATTGGAGCTTAGGGTTGGTGGGAGGAGCTTGTCCACGGCAGGCTTCACTGTGATTGGTCAATTTCTTTCACTTGCAGGCGTTCTCTCCGGGCCTCCTCAAATGCTCCATCCCTTACGGGAAACGAAATGCTACTTGCAGGGGCATTGGGAGGCGGGTGCACCTGCCTTAAGAAGAGTGTACTTAAGCCATCCCTGGACGGTCCTTGGTGTCCCCAGTCCACTGGCCTTCTGTTGTATCCTCTTTGGAGAGTAAACCCCCAGACTTCTGCAAAGGCCCTTGTTTTGGTCCCGTTTCATTCCATTTCCTGAAGCATCCATGGCTGCCTGCGTTTTAGTCTTGGTTGGGGGGGGGGGGGCGGTCATGAATACAAATTGGGGTGTTTGCCGGCTGTCTCTGCTGTGGACTCAGGATTCCACTGTCTTGGATTTGCTGCTGGGTCAGCTCTTCTCCAGCGACTGTGCGGGTGCCAATGGCCACTGCGTGTGCTTCCTGCCGGGGTGTCTTAGTCTTTGTGGGTGGAGCCTGGACAAAGGCTCGCAGGTTGGGTGGTGTAAGAGCGACAGCATCTCCTGTGCACTAGACCCTCTTCTAAGCACATCACATATATTTAGCCCCTTAATGCTCACATCGTCCCCATGGGGCAATGGGGACACGAAACAACAAAAGGGGCTAACTAACTTGCTTCGGGTGACCCAGCTAGCGCGAGGTGGTGCCAGCACTGGGACCCAGACAATTGGGCTCTAAAGCCCATGCCCATGTTCTTAGCCGCCCCGCCACCCCGTCCCAAGCAGTGCAGTCCGTCAGGGAAGAGTAGGGGAGCCCTCCTGGGGCCACGATGTCCTCACAACCTGTAGTCCCCTTTGAAACAGCATTTTGAAGAAAAACATAAGCACAGGGAATATCCTCATGAAGTTCCAGGGGACTTTTAGGGGGTCTCCCAAACGAAAGGCGTGTACCTACAGGCAGAGAGAGACGTCAGTCCCTCCCATAGATGCCTCCGTCTCAGGTGCGCTCCAGATCACCCCTCCCCCAGCTGCTCTGTAAGGCGTGCAGGTGTTTAAGGGTGGCTGTGCTTTGGAGGCAATATTAACCTCCTCAGTGGCGGGGAGAGCACCCAGTGCAGCACCTGACACATAGTAGGTGCTCCGTGACACACAGTAGGTGCGCCATCAGTATTTGTCAAATGTGGAGATTAATGCCGACCCCTCTCCCACCTCTCTTCTTTCTCCTGGTGGTCCCATAACCAGGCCAACTACTCCCCTTCACCTCTCTCTGAGTACAAACAAGCCCACTTGACTGGATTCGACCCCCATTCCTTGGTGTCCGACTCTCGCAGGCTAGCCCTCTGTTTCTGGCCCCAGCTTGCCTCTTGGAAACAGCGACGATGTCTCTGTAGTCTCACTCTTCAGCTCTTCCCCATGCTGGCTGCACTAGGTGGGACACACCCTAGGTCTTGTGTTAGTCTGAGCCACTGTAATAAGAATCCCAAAAGAGGGGCGCCTGGGTGGCACAGTCGGTTAAGCGTCCGACTTCAGCCAGGTCACGATCTCGCGGTCCGGGAGTTCGAGCCCCGCGTCGGGCTCTGGGATGATGGCTCAGAGCCTGGAGCCTGTTTCCGATTCTGTGCCTCCCTCTCTCTCTGCCCCTCCCCCGTTCGTGCTCTGTCTCTCTCTGTCCCAAAAATAAATAAACATTGAAAAAAAAATTAAAAAAAAAAAAAAAGAATCCCAAAAGACAGTGACTCACAAAGATAGAGGTTGCTTTCCTTCTCACATAAATGTCTAAATGTGGGCGGATGTGGTAAATGATTGGCCCCTCTCATCACCCCTTTCTAGACCCGCGTTCTTTGCCACGTTTCTTTACACTCCCCTCGCTAGAAGTACCAGACGCTCCCCTGTGCCGTCGCGTAAGGCTCAAGGATTTGACTTGCCATGGCCAAGTCAAAGGAAGTGGGAGGAAGGGAAAACGTTCCAGCAAAACTAGGCTATAAGAAGGCTTCCATGCTTCTGTTTGTCCCTCTTGTTCTCTTGCTTTTTGGCATTGAAGGAACAATCCCCAGCTAACCAGGGAAGATGAGAGGAATGTGGAGCCCACTCGGACCCAAACGGAAGCTCGACCACCGGCAGGTCTCAGCCAGAGCCTGCAAACACGTGAGTGAACTATGTGCCCGTGGTTGTAGGCTGTCCAGGCTTTGTGGCCATGACAGTGACAGTCCAGGAAGGGCACACAGCTGTGCTTCGTGAAGTGACTCATGGACCAATCATGAGATCAATGAGTCAATCATGAGATCATGGCCCGAGCGGAAATCAGGAGTCAGACGCTTACCCAGCTGAGGCACCCAGGTGCCCAACTCTGCTGTCCTGACACGAGACTCCATCTGTGTCCATGGCAGGTGCTCCAGACACTGGGAGAAAACCAAAGGTGGGCAGGGTGCATGGCTCCACTTAAGGGAACTGCCCCAGAAGCTGTTCACAACACTTCTGCACGTAGCTCATGGGGCTGAGCTCAGTCCCAGGGCCTGCAAGGAGGCTGGGGAATGTAGGCTTGTTTGGGGCTGAATTGTGTCCCCCTAAATTGATGCCCTGAAGTCCTAACCCCCAGTACCTCAGAAGGTGGCTGTGTTTGGAGTTAGGGTCTTTAAAGAGGTAATCAAGTTAAAATGAGGTCGTATGGGTGGCCCCTAATCCAACGTGACTGCCAAGATTAGGACACAGACACGCACAGGGGAAAGACCTTGTAAAGACACGGAGAGGAGACAGTTCTCTACAAGCTAAAGAGAGAGGCCTCAGAGGAAATCAGCCCTGGGAGCACCTTGGTCTTGGACTTCCAGCTTCCAGAACAGTGAGAGAATAAATTTTTGTTACTTAAATACTTTGCTACACTTTTGTTATGGCAGTCGAAACAAACTCATACAGGCCGTAGCCGGGTGGTCATGTTCCCAACTTTAGGGAGACTGGTGATCCTATTACTAAAAAAGAGAAAGGAAGGAGAGATTCTGGGGGCAGTTAAGTCTTCACCAACGTCTCCCTCCTGTGTCTGATCTAGCAGACCAGCTGTCTCCAGGCCCTGGTGATGTGTGGGCTCTAGAATATGTCTGTTGGCTATGTACCCAAAACCAACGTGGTCATTCTCTGCATTTGATTTTATGCATTTGCAAACATGGTACTGAGAAGGGGTCTGTAGTCCTCAGCAGATTATGGCCTGGTGGCCGTGGCTCCTGGAGCACTTCCCGGGTCACAGGCTCGTGCTTGTGCCTTACTGACACCGTCTGTAGTGTGGTGGCACACGCAGCTTCCTAATTCCACCTCCGGTGTGTGCCAGCAGGAGGGGCAGAGAAAATGGGGCAGTAGAGGCGCCAACCAGTCAGTCCCACAGGGGCTCCGGAGCTGGATGGCCCTCCGAGGGTTCCAGATTAAGGCAAGGGGGTTGGGTCTTGGCATCCCCACGGGGACTGCCATTGGAGACCAGCTGCCTGGAGATAAGAAGATGAGGAGTGGCCTCAGGGTACTCACCTTCCTTCCGGCCTGCCTTCCAGGGGAGGGGCTCAGCTGGGAGCCACTAGCAGAAAGTTCTGACAGCTGGGAGAATGGGGGCCTGGGGCCTGCACCCTGCAGCACGTGCTAATTCCCGGCCTGGTGTGGCCCCTCGACCATGCACCCTTCCGTCCATGTGTCCCTCTCTTGGCAGCCTGTAGCTCCAAGAGACCTGTAAACACCTGGGGATTATCCTTTTGGGCCTGGGAGGAAGCTTTCGCTTTTGAATGTCAGATCTCAAAATTTCCACCCAGA